CTGACAAACCTAGAAACATACTCGGGGCGAACCAGGATTTGAACTAACAATTATATGTTTCTGGCTTGCCCAAGAGGCACAACAATTGTGACACCTTAGACGACTCGGCCACCATTGGATTATTGTGAGGGAAATTCTCGTGATCTCGCATTCTCGTGTTGTGGGTACATAGCACTTTTTGTCAAAATTCGACAATGGTAGAATGCGACATTTGGACATGATGCAAAATCTCGCAACCTCGCAATCTCACAATCTCGACTTGTCAAATTAGGCCAGGAAAACAGGAAATCCCGAGAACGCGAGAATGGAACATGTATTTTTTTGTTTTTTTATGTATTTTTTTATTTATTTTTTTGTAAATTGATAATTAAATGAAATATGCAATCGTAAATTTATTTATTTACTTATTACAATACATGCGCGCTCGTTGCCGTCAAGAGAAACATGTACCAAACGCGCGAAATCGACAAGTAGCCTGTCGAATCCCCTTTCCTGATGGGGACAAACAACTTAAAATATTTTCACAAGCTATTACGACGTATTTTGACCCATGATAACTAATATAGGCTTCAGAAAGACAAAAATGTAATCCTGTCTGAACGTGATGATTCACACAAAATGTTTATAAAGGTGGTATCGTCAACTGAAGAGTAGTGAACCTTAAACAATACATTACAATATAATACAAAAGCTAAGCTCAATACATATTAAGGAAAACGTAAGTGGCGTGCTTTCCACTTCCCGGCGTCAGTTTATGTAGTGAAAAAATAGCCGATCCAAAACATGAATATGTTTGTGTGAAGTTATACAGTTGAGTGTCGATTTTCGCAGGCGCAGTTGTTAGAGTTTGAATACTTCAGGAAATATTTAACACATTTAGTTCAATGCGTAATGACGCTCCCCGAAAGTACGCGACAATATGGAAATAGAGAGGCAATGTGTTAGTTTCCTTGACAGCCAATGTGAAAGCGATACAAGGTCATGGCTGGTGCATGCACCTGGTACATTTTTCTTTTTAAAATATTCAGCTTGCATAACATGTATTGAAAAATAATATTGAAAAATTCCGAACAGTGACTCGTAAAGACTGAGTGAGTGAGTTGGTGGGTGGGTGGGTGAGTGAGTGAGTGGGCTGGGGAGTGAGTGAGTGAGTGAGTGGGTGAGCTAGCTCACATCAGTATTTCAGTAAGAGCACGGCTGATCATATTCGGGAAGTTGTCAACGGGTAAATGAGTGAGTGAGTGAGTGAGTGAGTGAGTGAGTGAGTGAGTGAGTGAGTGAGTGGGTGGGTGGGTGGGTGAGTGAGTGAGTGTGTGGGTGGGTGAGTTTGGGTGAGTGAGTGAGTGTGTGGGTGGGTGATTGTGAGTGAGTGAGTGAGTGAGTGAGTGAGTGAGTGAGCTAGCTCACATCAGTATTTCACTTGCAGCACGGCTGATCAGATTCGGGAAGTTGTCAACGACTGGCAACCAACCATTTAATTTTTAGGAAGAGACAACGTTCATTGTCCCTAATGCTGCTCTCATAAACGCCTCTTTGTTAAACGCCGCTTAAAACAGTGTCGGCACTATGCAAACCTGGTCTAGAAGTGTCACACCGAATGTCTCATGAATCACATATCACTGGCAAACCATGTCCGACAAAGTGAGTGAGTTGGGTTTAACGCCGCATTTAACAGTATTCCAGTAATATCACGGCGTGTCTGCTTAATGTGGAAGGAAAGCCCGAAGTCATGCAGGTGTCAGACGTTTACCACTTTGGTGAAACCAACGATCACGGGTATGGTGCTGACAAACCTAGAAACATAATCGGGGCGAACCAGGATTTGAACCCACAATCATAGGTTTCTGGCGTGCCCAAGGGACGCAACTCTGCACAGCGAATCGCGGCACCTAAGACGACTGGGCCACCCGTGCCCCCCTCACCCAGCAGTGAATGGGTGCCCGGTAGGATGAGATGGCAGTGTGTCACACCGAATGTCTCATGAATGACATATCACTCGCAAACCATGTCCGACAAAGGTGTGATCAGAAATTAAATTAAAAACATAAATGTAATGGAACAAAGATGACAAGTAAATCCACATAAAGCCTTTAATTCAAATGCAGTTCATATCAATGAAAGATGTCAGAAATACAATGCTATACAGTAAACTACGGTTATAACGAACTCAAAGAGACTAGTAATTTTAGTTCGTTATAACCGTAGTTCGTTATAAGCATATATACAACATAACTACAGCAAATAGTCGGGACCAAAAAATAAGTTCGTTATGTCCGTCAGTTCGTTATGAGCGTGTTCGTTATAACCGTAGTTTACTGTATATGTATAGACCACCTTCTTTATTCTGACAAGATGTTATCTTGATATGTCAAGTACTTTCTGTTTCCGTGATCAACTAATCACCACTATACCATTCAGATATTTTTTTTACAAATAATAGTAATAACAACAACAACATCAATAATAATAATAATAATAATAATAATAATAATACAGATCACTTAAGGACTGATGAATCAACAGTAATAACACGAATCCTGCTCAGAGGAAACGAATCTAATAATACTGGCAAACATTTGTCTGTTTATAGACAATGAAGAATGCACAATGGACGTAAGCAACTTGATCACTATCTACAGTATCCACAAAAATGACAAACCTCAAGCTCGACATAATAATGGTTAAAACAATAATAGCAAATTTATACAGGATTTTGCGCGTGGACTGTGTACGTCTTAAAGCGTATATGAATGAGTTTCGTTGAATAAACTGGATCTCGAATGAATCCCTTTTTATGCAAGTATACTGTCGAGTTCCTCACAAATCCAACATCATAACGATGATGCATCTAGACTTCGAGGCCACTTCAGCACAATCACAACTGATACAACTGTAGCATGTTAAACGATGAATCATTTAACGCAAACATCATAGAATAAAAAGCTTCGATTATCTGCAGGAACCGATTTCTTTGAGCGTAGAAGGCAAAATGGCAGTGAAAATTAATTGAAAGGATCACTGAAAATGACTGATGACACCAGGTGTCCTTGGAAAGAGTTAGCAAGTCCTGCCCCACCAGAAGACACGTTTCACAGCACTACAGCTAGCCGACTATTTAGATCCATGGTTCATCATAATGATTCACGGTGGACACTGACCGTAAACTACAGCAGTCGTCCATGTTAGTTCCGGTCATGCGCATCACGCTGTCTTTCTTAAGTCGTAAGTGTCGGAGCTCGTGGTAACCGCAACTATTCACGTATTCGCGTCTGAAATTGACTCCTTCCTCTCTTCTCTGAGTGGAGTCTTGCTGCGCAGGCCGGATATCGTCAATTTCGAAGTAGATGCGGTTGTCGGCCTGAGCGAGAGCAGGGGGCCTGTGACAATGGGGTAAATGTGGATGTACATCATTAAGCTGACATTCATAGGAAGTACATCTACATTCTAAGCATCGAAATACATATGTATAAAAGCTCGCTAAAACGATATACAAGTTTTATGGTAACATCATATAAGTCTCTGGGTAACCTAAGCCAAGTCAAAGCAAATTCTCTAAAATACATGTGAGTATTTCAGAGCTTGTCTATAGGAAATCTGACAGTTAAATGTTTCAGCCGACATCGTGTTTTTGTTTGTTTGTTTGTTTATGTTTAACACCGCATTCAACACTATTCTAGCTATTTGACAGCGGACTGGACCAGACAGTCCAGTGGTTGACATCATGAGCATCAACCCACGCAATCTGGATATGATGACGTGCATCAATTAAGTCAGCGAGTCTGACCACCCGATCCCGTTAGTCGCCTTTAACGACAAGCATAGTGGTCTCAGTATTTTGGCAAGTGTCAATCTGGCAACCTATGTGATGGCATACCATCTTATTCTATACTGTGTTTGCTCGTATCCCTTGCAAACACACATTGGTCTAGTTGTCTGATCAACCTTAGATTGCACTGAACGCCTATGTACCTGACATATTAAAGGTAAATTGTCTACACCAGCACCCGAGCGTTCAAGAACATTTCATGTTTGTTCTGATGCTTGAGTATTCGTGAAATCCTGACACATTCCGAGTAATTTTGCATTGATATATTAAAAAACACGTTAATGAAACAATCGAAAAACACGGATACAACATAGTATGTGAAACCTCATAATACGGATAGTTTTAGTCAGGATACGTACTCTGGGATTTAGGTCTTTTGCCTTTAAATAAACACTCATATCATTGTGATTAAACATTAAAACCTACCTTGCGTCAGAGGTTTCTGTGAAAAAGAAAGAAAGGTTTACATTCACGCAAAGCAGCAATACATCACAATTCATCGCCTGTTAAATGTAGCTGATGTAAGTCTGAACATGATTCTAATCCTAATGATGTCGTTATATTTACGTTATGTGTTGTGTTTCACACACACATTAATAAGTAGAATGTATATTCAATGTTGCAGAACATCACGCATCCTGAGGTATTGATAATCACAACAATATCGAATACTACAACAAACGCTTGATCCGATCCTGGCCTAGACACAAACGATTTAGTGAATTGGCTTCTGTTAGGCCCATTTGGGTAATCAGACAATATTCTATGGAGTAGCATTATGACAAGTAACTGTATGAGTTGAACTGCCCTGACATTACACTGCTGCTATTTATATTTTGACTCTCGATTCATTCCTCAATTACAATTCAACGAATGCATATAATGACGTATTTCAACACAGAACAAATCCCACCTTGAATCCGTCGTTTGAATGTTCTGCGACAAAGCAAGAAAGCGATGACGGAGATGATCACCGTCGTTGCAACCGAGAATCCAATACTGACTACAACAAGGGTCTCCAGCCCTCCTGGAAAAAACGGATTTTAACTGAATTAATTGAAACATTGAACACTGTTTTACAAGCGGTTTTTGTATAACAAAACACTTGTTTTGCGAGATACGATATCATCTATCTATCTATCTATCTATCTATCTATCTATCTATCTATCTATCTATCTATCTATCTATCCATCCATCCATCCATCCATCCATCCATCCAACCATCTCTTTACATACCTTTCCCGACAGATGCATCAGTCGTTGTGATCAGTTTTTTGCTCGAGTGTTCCGATCCATCAGGTGATGTGGGCATTACAGAAGACATGCTGTCTTCACTTGCTGAAATAGGCCACGTGAGAGTAACAATATCAGTTACAAAAAGTAAAGCAGATATCAGAGTAAAGCAATTATGATCGAGGGAATATCGAGTGATCAACAGTTCCCGTACCCAAGCCTGACAACATTTACAGCAAACCTCCACAAAATAATGTTATATTTACTTAATGAATAATAGGAATCTTTAATTTGTGTATGAAGATCACCACTGACATGTTTGATAGCATATTTATGTTTGAAGACAAGGACGATTTGTAATTTAATCGAGGAAATATCATACTTGACACATGAAAATATAAACATACCAGGCGTTGTATCACCATGATCACCAGTTGAGTTGCTGAATGGGACTGGCTCAAATGTGGTCTGATCCTCTCTCACAGTCGAAACGTACGTCGTATGAACTGTGTTAATTATATTCATATACGTTGAATAAAAATATAGGTGGTGGATTAATTTTTAATAACTAATTATGTGTATACAATTATACTACGGAACATGCATAAAGACAATTGTGTCAAAAGTTTACTTTGGTTGTTTTGCTGAATGACTGCGTTTAGGAAATGTACATCGTGAGGGAAAAGTCATGCGACTTGTCTCGGGTGGTCGTCTCTGTTTCAGTTTCTGCTGTTTTCTCTTGCAGAAAATGAAATAATATTTACATACTGTTACGGGAACATGTGGACATTTTCCGATTAATCTATACACTTTCCGTCCTTCACTTGAAACCAACACAGTTGGTCGGAAATTGGGTAAGATATGAACTTCAAAGTTTGATACTAGTATATGGAATTAAATCTAAACGATTCAATTATATGAATCATATACTTACCTACAGTTGAGGTTTCGTCAACTTCTGAAACCTGTACAGTCGCAGTGTCATCTACAATATATGTGATGTTTATTAAAATAATAATGACAACAATTCTGAATATTTTCCTGTTTCCTCAACCTTTCACCAAACAATATTTGCATAATGTTGACTTAACGTGTTCACGTATTCCGATGTATTTATAGGATCATTCATTTACTTGTTACTAAAAGACGAATGTCAACGAATTATTCACAAATGCTTTTATAAGTTATTTGGTACAAGCGTGGAGAGGACAGTTTGACAGATTCAGTAGTATGAATGATATGCATATACTTTACCTGTAGATGTTGCGACAGACGGTGAAGCCGACCCAGTCACAGAGTTATCTAAAATAAGAGATATTTATTTTAATTCAATATCCATGTGCAAAAGGAGTGTGAGTATAGTTGTACTTCGTTTCATTCCAGCATCTATATGTATTTGTTCTATTACGTACATACATGCACACACACACACACACACACACACACACACACACACACACACACACACACACACACACACACACACACACACACACACACACACACACACACACACACACACACACACACACACACACACACACACCACACAAACACACATACATACATACATACATACATACATTCATACATACATACATACATACATACATACATACATACATACATACATACATACATACATACATACATACATACATACATACATAGGAGTGTGAGTATTGTTTTACTTCTCGTTTCATTCCAGCATGTATTTTCTATTTGTTCTATTAAATACACACACACACACACAAAACACACACACACATACATACATTTTGGAACTTGTGTAATTAGTCTTACCTTGCACATACATACATATACACGCACACACGCACGTAAGCACGAACGAACGCACGCACGCACGAACGCACATACATACATACACACATACATACATGCATACATACATACATACATACATACATACATACATACATACATACATACATACATACATACATACATACATACATACATACATACATAGGAGAGATTCAGACGAATCATATGCATATACTTTACCTGTAGTAGATGTTGCGACAGATGGTGAAGCCGACCCAGTCACAGAGTTATCTAAAATAATATAAGAGATATTTATTTTAATTCAATATCCATGTGCAAAAGGAGTGTGAGTATAGTTTTACTTCGTTTCATTCCAGCATCTATATGTATTTGTTCTATTACGTACATACATGCACACACACACACACACAAACACACATACATACATACATTTTGGAACATGTGTCATTAGATTTACCTGGCACATACATACATACATACACGCACACACGCAAGCACGCACGCACGCACGAACGCACATACATACATACATACATACATACATACATACATACATACATACATACATACATACATACATACATACATACATACATACATACATAGGCGAGATTCAGACGAATCATATGCATATACTTTACCTGTAGTAGATGTTGCGACAGATGGTGAAGCCGACCCAGTCACAGAGTTATCTAAAATAAGAGATATTTATTTTAATTCAATATTTATGTGCAAAAGTTTTACTTCGTTTCATTCCAGCATCTATATGTATTTGTTCTATTACGTACATACATGAACACACACACACACACAAACACACATACATACATACATTTTGGAACATGTGTCATTAGATTTACCTGGCACATACATACATACATACACGCACACACGCAAGCACGCACGCACGCACGAACGCACATGCATACATACATACATACATACATACACACACACACACACGCACACACACACATACATACATACATACATACATACATACATACATACATACATACATACATACATACATACATACATACATACATACATACATGTAACAAGGCAGGTTGACCTACTGAAAACAACCAGCACGTGTTCCCAGTCACAGTCTGCATGTCCGCCCTTCTCCAGGCTACAGTGGTACCTCCCAGCATCAGCTGATGTGACGTCAGAGAGTTGGAACTGTACAGTGACATTATCCGATGATGTGATGACTTTCAGGATCTTGATCCTGGTCCAGTAGGTTTCCCATATGTAGCCTTCAGCAGAGTCCATTTCAAACACATTTATATCATTAGGGTCTTGCAGGTATATTCTTGACTGATGTTGGGGTGTCCTCATGGAAAGCAACACAGTGTCTCCCTCGTGCACTTCCAGGTTCTGAGGAGACTTAGGCACATCTACAACATAGTCAGTTTTCTACTTATAACAATATCGACAGTTGCAATAACATGAGTAGGTGAGGTGTGTTTTACACCGTATTTCTGTAATACTGTATTTCTACACAGCCACAGTTATAGTGGGTCGATCTTAATTTGAGGATGAGAGGAGAGCTTGCCAGAAATTGATGCGGATCTAAGTAGTTTACAGACATAATATAACTAAAGTTCATCTTACTCGAACGCATATACAATGACAAGCCATAGAACTTCTATCACTTTCTCAAAATCAATGGGAAAATAGCAAAATATAATCAAAACGAAAACAGAACATTTATCGGTACAAAAGCTCCCAATAGATTGTGTAGCTACTTTCACACACATGAGTCCCAAAGAGGGAGGGGTCAACTGAAATTGCTATAACAGAAGGCGACTTCATAAACACTTAAAGCAACAACAATATCGATGTTATCGGCATGGCTTGCCTATGCAAAGCAGAATATACGACGTCTCAGAGAGGAACATACTAGTATGGAGCTATGTTATTCTCAAACTGGGATGTGTCATTACTTATCTGAGGTAACAGTTGGCTTCTTAGTTGTGAATCCATTTTGAAATTTAAGTTTTTAAGCTCTGTAACAACAACTGGCTGTCTAACAAATGGGAGGTTACCCGTGACACTTGTAATGAATACATACATTCTACGCTAAGGACATAGTCCACACTGTGGTCTGTGAGTATATTGTCCCCAACCACTGTCTGACAAGTGTATCTGTGTGCTCTGTCCTTCCTTGTCACGCCACTGATAGTCAGAGTGTTGTTCATGTATCGCCCGCCTCTCCATACCCTGCTACCAGACGCCAACTGATGCCTGCCTCCATTCTCTACACTCGTTCCGTTCTTCATCCAGACAAAGTTCATGGACAGGTTCCAATTTGGGTAACTTTTCAGAAAGGAGTTGCATGTCAGATCAACAGAACTGCCAAAGGATACCTTTTCCGGGCCCTCGATATAAGGTTCTTGAACTCCTGTTGAAAAAATAACCATATATGCAAATGGAGTGGCTTATATATTTGTAAGTGTTGTAAATGCTGTCGTAATAGGGTTCAATACCGACATCGGTATGATGATATCACCAACGTAAATATACATTGTCAATACAAAGGAAACACCAGTCTAGATTATCCGCGGAACCATTAGCGAAAAGGACGAAATATCTGTGAAATTTTTATGAATGGACATACTTTTTTTTCTGGAAACATGAACATTATCCTTCTTCAAAATACCCTGTTACAGCTGCCCTGGTCAGTGACTTGTTGATATATTGTGTAGACTTAGTTACCATACTCAAATACCGGATAGTGTTTCTGGAAATTAACTACTTACGTATCACTACTAGCTGTTGCCCACAGTTGGGAATCTTTGTTCCTGGACGTTGTGGTGAACCAAGATAGCAGCTGTACTGACCAAAGTCATGGTCGTCAGCTCTACTGAGCACGAAGCTGAAGAGACCAGCTCCTGAGGAATTTATATTTCCAGTGAATTCCAGCCTTGATTTCAGTTTCTCATTGGCAATGTTGAATTCGTTAAAGTTCGTTATGTGAAACACCGTTTCCTTCCAAAAATCGTTTCTAACAAAAAAGTCTTTGTTTCCAGACCCATGCAAATTCCAAGCCAGAGTTGCTGTTTCTCCAAAACGAATATAAACAGTTGACGCAGCTGAAAGATAAATGCGTCAAATATAACATTTACAATTCAATTTCTTTTCCAAACGGCTACATTTACTGAAACACAAATTTTATTACTTGTAAAATAGTTACAGAACACCAGCAGTTGGAAGATTACAGTTGTAATACCTACCAGCCATGACAAATTAACTATCGCCATATGAAAAAACGGGTGTTCTTAAACCTATTTTGCGTGGTATATTTATGTATTTACATCGCAAAAAGTAGCAAAGTAACATGTACTAATGGATTATCCATACTATTTGCCCAATACATACCCATCACAATACTTGTCTGTCCACAATTAGCAATTATGAATCCTCTGTTACCCAGGGACCGCGAATAACACTCTCTGATGATAAATCTGAACAATTCTGCAGATTGTTTCTAACAAGCATATCCACGACATATTCAATTCCATGAATGATCAACGTCAAGACAACGTGTATTGTGTACTTGACATTTTGACTTTGACAATGTTTGGGTTCCGTACAGTGAATGAGAGGTGTCCCGTGTCATTGATCGGGGCGTATCATTTATTTCTGTTTAGTTATTGATGTTATAACTTGTCACATATTAACTGAGTTTTTGTATGAACATTTATCTATTGAGTTTTTATGTTGGACCCCCGTGTACATATAAGTCTAAGATTAAATTTCCATTTTCTTCGTGAGTGATTGTGTTGGGTTTAATGCTGCTTTTGAAATTTTTCCATTTATATCACAGCGTGTCAGCTTAATGTGGGAGGAAAGCCCGAAGTGATGCGGGTCTCAGGCGTTTTACACTTTTACCACCCACGGGCACCGGTATGGTGCTGACAAACCTAGAAATATAATCGAGGCGAACCGGGATTCGAACCCACAATCGTAGGTTTGCCCCAGGGACGCAACTCTGCAAAGAGAATCGCGGCGCGTTAGACGACTGAGCCATCCGTGCCCCCTGAATGAATGAATGGCCCCTATTCATCACGTAAATAACGCAAACAGAGTGAATGATTCATAATTAATTTTACACCAATTATTGGAAAAAAATTCTGTTCCACTATTTCGTGCTTCACCTTGAAACGGGGGCACGGGTGGCCCAGTCTTCTAAGGCGCTGCGATTGGCTATGCAGAGTTGCGTCCCTTGAACACGCCAAAAACCTATGATTGTGGGTTCGAATCCCCCAATTATGTTACTAGGTTTGTCAGCACCATGCCCGTGCTCGTGGGTTTCACCGAAGTGGTAAACGTCACTTCGGGCTTTCCTCCCACATTAAGCTGACACGCCGCGATATAACTGGAATACTGTTAAAAGCGGCGTTAAACCCAACCTACTCACTCACTCACTCAACTTGAAACTGCCTACCAACTGGTACAGCTATCAACATTCAACTCAGTCACAAGTGGTTTACATATCTGGATATATATACATTCTATAAAACTCGTGCCAAGTTATTAATTTAAAGTGGAATTTTGTTGACAACCTCTAGTACTAATACAAACACAGACGCGCGTTCACTCAATAATCTTGAGCATGACGTTGAACTACATTTCACGTCACCTCATCCCTTGAGTTATGTATGTTTTTATTGTATCAGTCTTACCTGTCGGCGCTCCTCCTATACAACTATGGGAAAACAACAAAACACAAATGACAGTAGTCCAACTCCAACTACACATCATCCTGCTGTGGTTTCTGACTGATTATATCAGTAACAAACTCGTCAGTGTACCACGCTCGCTACAAATACTTCCTGTGTAATCTACCCTTCAGGCAATAACACAGGCCGTGGTCGAATAATCAAAACACTTTGAGACCTGGCAATAAATAATAGAAATGTTATTGTTTTCAATACTCTAATTATCCATGTATTTCATTTCGTCCCATCAACTTATACCAGGAACAAGTCACTTTCCTGTTCGGTATATTTATACAGTGCTACGTTTTGTACAGACTGACATGTACATTTCTTCCGTCAAGCTTGTACACACCTTCCTGGTGATGCATTTATTCTTAGAAATTGTACAGTGTAACCATACTCTGCGAAAATCTCGTCACGATATGGTTGCAATATGTGACGTCAAATTTTAACTCACTCACTGTCAAAATTCAATTGGCAACTGCGTCCCACGACTATGTAATCAACGTGGACACTGTAATAAATGTCCTGCGGGAAATCGAGACTTTGGCGTGAGTACTTTCAGATAGATCTACATTGTATATAATCAATTTTACTAAACTGAAACCCAAGTATCATCTGAATGATTTTCCTTGGTCTTTCAATTTACTATAGCCAAGTCCCTTTAAGTCTCAAATAAATCATTGTTTTTCTTCAGAAACGTATTCATGCCAGACAGAAAACTAATTAAAACCTGAAGATAGCTCACTATACAACATAGCTGGGAGCCTACCTCAACAGGAAACATATTTTCTATAATCGATTCGTTTCATGTTTGAAGGTTATGTTGTATAACGCGGCTGTAAAGCCCTGCTTATTTCTGTGCGATTTAACTACAGTGTTCGCCTGGTTTGATAGCTGATATACTGACTCAGCACTTCGCGCATGCGCAGATGGCTGTTACTGAGGTTTAATGTTTAAAAAATGGCGACTACCTTGGCAACAGTAGCTACGAGCACTAAAAGCTTCTCTATGTTAGCTTTATTTCACACTATCGCGATAAACCACTTATCACGTATGACACTTCTGACCTTAAGTCAGCCACTAATATCAGCAAACTAAAGTTTGTCAGTTACTTGGTGTCAGAACTGATACGTTCCCCTTAATAGGTATAGGAGAAAGATCACATTTTCTTCTAATTTGCTATTCTTTCACACCTAATTACTCCAGTGACACGTTTTTCCTGTTGATAGAATGTAGCGGATGTGAAACAACATATATGTTTATTCTAACAGTCCTGACCAGGTATTTTGATGATTCCAGTTTCATTAAACTGTTTTATTATTATTTATTTAAAGGTATACCTCTATACATCCACATTGCATTTTGAGCATTAGCCTCGGGAGAATCGATATGGGATCGTTTCATTTTGGAATATTTACATATGAGGCCGTTTCACATGTCTTTTTTTATATTTCTAGCCCAGGTGGGGATATTCGTCGAAGGTATTTGGCTGTATGACAATTATTGAACGAAAGCAGATCACCGATGTACCTTTACTCTTTGGTTAAATTCTCGAGTTCTATGTTGTAAATCCAAGTAGTGTATTTTTTTGTTTAGCAATGATTGTAACTGTGTTGTTATGTTTCTGTTGTGATTCGGCAGACGCTCTTTACATTGTGTTTGGGCAGTGATCATGCGTCAGGAAGCTAGAGTGGTGTGTAAACTTCCGGTCCGCTTTACCGGGGACGGTGATAGTATGTTTTTGAAACATGTGGAAAGTTCCATTATCTCTCACGCATTTCATCGCTTTGGAACAAGCATTCATGTGAGGATCGCTCATCATCCCTGATTCCCTGCCTAGTCCATCTCGCCGCGTCTGTTTAAATTCTCAGTTAACGTATTGTTTCAATGTTGAAATCGACACGTAACAGTAGTAAATCCGATTTATTTGCATAAAGAAACCAGCAAGGGTGGTGCCACAATTAGTACCCATCAGAATGACTACTTTCTGCCAAATGTCATTTCCCAAATTTCATATTGATGTTATCTATGGGGAAGTTTAGCTTTTCATATATTGTTTTCGCAGTAAATTTAAGATGGCATTTTACCCGTGAATATCCCAGTTGGACATTTACAGCAACCCATGCTTGTCGTAAGTGGCGACTAACGTAATCGGGTTGTCAGCCTCGCTGACTTTGTTGATACATATCATCAAATCCCAATTGAGTTGATTGATGGCCAAGATGTCAACGACTGGATTGTCTGGTCCAGGCTCGGTTATTTACAGACCGCCGTCATATAGCTGGAATATTGCCGAGTGCAGCGTTAAACATCAACCAAATAAACAAAGCGTTATAATATATACTTCACATGATTCAGAGGGGATTGTGGGGCAGCCTATTGGTTAAAGAGTTCGCTCGTCACGCAGTAGGCTCGTGTTCGATTCCCCCATGGGAACAATGAGTGAAGCCCATTTCTGGTGTCACCCGCTGTGATAATGCTAGAATATTGCTAAAAGCGGCGTAACACCATATTCACTTACTCACTCTTTTATATTGTGCAGCCATCCAACACATATTATTCTCACCATGTCATCTAGCTCATTTAAGGACACCGTCGTGTTGTGACTGAAATAATGAGACAAAATAAAGTGTATGTGACCACGTTGCGGAATAATTGTGGAACGGTGCTCATAAATGCCAATCACTGATTTGCTAGGCTTTGTTTCGATGACTTAAAGGAAGCAAAATGATGTAGTTTGAACGCTGGCTGGTAATGCTGGAGACGCGGGGGATTGCTGCGCCACAGAAGATCTGGGTTAGATTAGGTCTTCGGGTCAGAATAATTCCCATTGCTTTCATTGTACCTCATCGGTGAGGAACGTTGTTCATAATGTCAATCACTTATTTGCCAGGCTTTGTTTCGATGCTTTAAAGGCTGCTATGGTACACCTTTAATATTGCTAACTGCGGTGTCACATAACACACAAACAGAAATAGAAAAAGAAAGAGGAACTTGTCAGCAGTGAAATATTGTCATACGTCCTTATTTAATCTTCTTCAGGTGGGGATGGAGTGAGTGTGTTAAAATTTAAAGTCGGCAACGCTTGAGCCATATTGTTGACATTTGTCAGCACCTGATATAAACACAGTCATTGAAATCACAAAATGAATTCAGAATTCATGACGTCTGTCGCACATTACGAGAATATGAAATGTTTGTGAAAGCTTCCTTTCACTAGTATGTTCCTCCATGAAAGTTTTAATATTTATAACATCGATTTCCGACAACCTCTTCAATAATAAATTGAAGTCAATTGAATAATAAATATATATTATTCTTAATGAACTTATTTCAGGGGCATACTGTCTACATTGCTGGGGTTATCAAGGTTAAATTTTCTTATTAAGCAGTTACCCTCAGTCAGTGGACAGTTTATCTTAAAATGTTGGGACATCTTCCGCCCGTATCGCGTTTCAGGAAATAGTAACACATTTATATGAATAAATAACAAGAACAACACTTATGCATGCAAATCAAAACTGTTAATTTTATCAAACACAAAACGAAATACGTATATGTAAGCTATGACATATTGATCGATCAGTATTTCCGTTCTACAGTGCTGCATTCTTTCGTATATATTAAACCTACATTACTTCACCCATTTTCTTAAAAAACATGTGATGTAAGTTCATATCGGTGCTGAAAACTAATTTGATATCAGAGTCAATTTTAGATGATTTAGATTTCGTTTCGTTATGTCTGTTCAGCCTCAATTGTTAAAAAAGTGATGAAAAATTAAATCCGAAATAGTCCAGGTAAACTCTTTCTTCACTCCAAATCACATATCCTTTGTCATTTTGATATCTACAAAGACAATACTGTATATCGATCATTGTGTAGCCTTTTCCTAACGTGTAATGGAACTGAAACGTGGCAGGCAACCAAACACGCTCACTCTTATTATGTGACTGTATGAAAAAGGACTGTATAAAAGAGAAGAAGAATAATTCGTCAAATTTGCCGAGGCCTTGTGGGTATCTGCCTTCCATGAGGCCACACTCTTATATAGTGTCGATAGTAGCATAGCCTTCATTCTCATCATGTCTTGGCGTGACATACAATGCCGCTGGAAGTCTGTAAAAACACAAATCGTACTTTGTTGTCACAAATAGTATACACTGTATATAGAATTGTCTCTGTTTCGTTCAAACAGCCATTAGTACATGGTTGCTGTTTAAGAAGAGTATGAGAGTATGGGTTTCACGCCGCGTTGAACAGTATTCAGCTTATTATGGTAGGTAAACCAAAAGTGATGCATATCTTATATGTTTACCACTTTGGTGAAACCCAAGGGCACGAGTATTATGCTAACAAACCCAGAACCATAATGGGGGCGAACCGTGATTCGAACTCGCGATCATAGGTTTCTGACGTGCTCAGCGAATTTCTGCACGTGCGACACCATACTAAATATTTATAATTAGGATAGTGCTAATTACATGGTTCGAGGATTAAGATAATTATGAATAGCTCTAATACTTACTTGTTGTTACTGTGTACTGAAACGTAATGGATAAGTAAATGACTTAAATGCACCTGACAAAGAATCAAATGACCAATGAGTATTACCATCATAATGTTAAGGATGTCGAACATTTGCCAAGTAAGGAAAAGACATTTCTCCAAACATACTGGTCTTGTTAATTTTTCATCTGACCTTTTCGTCGTTTGAGCATTACAATAGCGACGGTCATCACAATGCTCACAGCTGAGCTCACCACCGAGAACCCAACAACTTCAGCCAAAGAATAGGTGTGTATGTCTTCTTCACTATGCACGTCCATGTTGTCTGCAGGAGAGGATAAGGAAACTGGCGATGCTGATGTCGATATCGTGTCTCCTGTAATAATGAAGGAACATCTATGATGTATCATTCACACACAAGTACTATACCATGTGTATCACGAATGAAATGTGTAGGATATGGGATCATGTAATGAAATCGCATCCTACAACGGCCTTATGTACTATTCTTGGTGACCGCTAAATGTGACAGTTGTGTTTACGACAATAAGGCAAGAGGGTATCAACAAAGGCACCAATTGTGCTCCCCAACTTGTCGATATGTTTGTTATGCAAACGAATCTGAATTCCTGCTTTAAGTGGCAAAATCGAAAGATGGGAATTTGGCCAACAGGCCTGACATTAAGCTTCAGGTATATGGATGACCATTAATAATTGCTAAATAATGGTCAAATAGACAATTCCCTTCCAATCGTTTACTGAACTTGAACTTGAAATCAAAGAGACCAATGAAGCCGGCTCCTCAGTTTTATTTTAGATCTATGCATAAAGAGTGACAAACAATTCTCCACAAGTCGGCACGACTTCAACTCTCCAATAGTTAACCCTGCCCTCTTTGTTGAGCAATATTCCAGCAGCTGCGGTCTTTAGTGTCTACATTTTACAGGTAAAATCGAGCATCGAAAATCCTCATACGACTTTTTGCTCTAATGTTGTTTAATTGGGTTTACGGCATGCAAGGCCTTACCAAAGCTTCAGTTGGTTGGTTGGTTTGTTGTTTTACGCCGCACTCAGCAATTTTCCAGCTATATGACGGCGGTCTGTAAATAATCGAGTCTGGACCAGACAATCCAGTGATTAATGTCATGAGCATTGATCAACGCCATTGGGATCGATGACATGCATCAACCAAGTCAGCGAGCCTGACCACCCGATCCCGCTAGTCGCCTTTTACGACAAGCATAGTCACCTTTTACGGCAAGCATGGGTTGCTGAAGACCTATTCTACCCCGGAATCTTCACGGGTCCCAAAGCTTCAGAGAGGTTTTATGTCAAACATATTTTCAAATTTGACGCATCAATGACAAAAATGAGTTAGAAGCAATTCCCTTTTTGACTTGAACGGTATGTTCCCATATTTGTTCAGGGGACATGGTAAAAGCACTCATGGTTTATTCACGACTGCAGAGTCGATTATACGAATCATATACTTTACCTATAGGGGAGTTTTCGTCAGATTGTGAAGCTGGTGTAGTCACAGTGCCATCTAAAATATGAATGATGTTTATTGAAATTATAATGATTATAATAATCATGTACAAGACGAAGGAACAATTCACCCCAAAAAGCTATAATTGCATATTCTTCATACAACATGCATACACAATCCATTTTTTCAAATGTCTATACACACGATTGAAAGTTTGCTACAAGCTTTTCGGGGTAAAATACCATAAAGTGATCATAAACTTGACCTGCAGTGGAGGTTCGTAAAATTGTGAATGTGGTACAGTCGCAATAACATCTAAAATATTAGTGATCTTTATAGAAACGATTATAATAATAACCATGCACAAGAGAAATACACAATTCTGAAATTCCTGTTGTATTTACATTTCACCGAATCAAACAATATCTGCATACTGTTGGCGTGGCATGTTTACGCATTCCGATCATTTACAGGATTGTAAGAGACGAATGTCAATGAATTAATCACATTTTGAGAGATTCAGTAGTACGAATCATATGCATATACTTTACCTGTAGTAGATGTTACGACAGATGGTGAAGCCGACCCAGTCACAGAGTTATCTAAAATACGAGTGATGGTTTTTTTAAAGTTAAATATCCATGCGCAAAAGAGGTGTGAGTATAGTTTTACTTCGTTTCATTCTGGCATCTATTATCTATTTGTTCTATTACATACCTGCACACATACACACACACACACGCACGCACGCACGCACGCACGCACGCACACATACACACACACACGCGCGCGCGCGCGCACACATACACACACATACACACACACATACATACATACATACATACATACATACATACATACATACATACATACATACATACATACATACATACATACATACATACATACAAACATACATACATACATACATACATACATACATACATACATACATACATACATACATACATACATACATACACACATACATACATATGAAACAAGGCAGGTTGACCTACTAAAAACGACCAGCACGTGTTCCCAGTCACAGCTTCCATGACCCTCCAGGCTACAGTGGTACCTGCCAGAATCAGTTGATGCGATGTCAGAGAGTTGGAACTGTACAGCGACTTCATCCGAGGATGTGAGGACTTTCACGATCTTGATCCTGGTCCAGTAGGTTTCCCATATGTAGACTTCGGCAGAGTCCATTTCAAACACATTTCTATCATTAGGGTCTTTAAGGTATATTCTTGACTGATGTTGGGGTGTCCTCATGGAAAGCAACACAGTGCCTCCCTCGTGCACTTCCATGTTATGAGGAGACTCAGGCACATCTACAACATAGTCAGTTTTCTACTAATGACAATATCGACAGTTGCAATGACACGAGTAGGTGAGGTGTGTTTTACACCGTATTTCTGTAATACTGTAATTCTACACAGCAACAGTTATTGTGGGTCGATCTTAATTTGAGGGTGAGAGGAGAGCTTGCCAGAAATTGATGCGCATCTAAGTAGTTTGCAGACACAATATAACTAAAGTTCATCTTACTCGAACGTATATACACTGAACATCCAAGAACTTCTTTCACTTTCTCAAAATCAATGGGAAAATAGCATAATCTAATAAAAACCAAAAAAGAACATTTATCGGTACAAAAGCTCCAAAAGAGTGTGCAGCTACTCTCACACACATGTGTCCCAAAGAGGGACGGGTCAACTGAAATTGCTATGGCAGAAGGCGACTTCTTAAACACTTAAAGTGCCAACAATATCGATGTTATCGACATGGCTTGCTTATGCAAAGTAGAATATACTATGTCGCAGAGAGGAGCAGACTAGTATGGTGCTATGTTATTCTCTAACTGGGATGTTCCATTACTTATCTGAGGTAACAGTTGGCTTCTTAGTTGTGCACCCACTTTGAAATATATTTTTAAGCTGTGTAATAACTGGCTGTCATACAAATGGGAAGTTACCCGTGACACTTGTAATGAATACATACATGACACACCAAGGACATACTCCACACTCTGGTCTGTGAGTATATTGTCCCCGACCACTGTCTGACAAGAGTATATGTCTACTCTGTCCTTCCTTGTCACGCCAACGATAGTCAGAGTGCTGTTCATGCATCGCCCGCCTCTACATCTCCTGCTACCAGAAACCAACTGATGCCTGCCTCCATTCTCCACACTCATTCAGTTCCTCATCCAGACAAAGGACATGGGCAGGTTCAAACTGGGGTAACTTTTCAGAAAGGTGTTGCATGTCAGATTAACAGAACCGCCAAAGGATGCCTTTTCCGGGCCCTCGATATAAGGTTCTTGAACTCCTGTTGAAAAAATAACCATATATGCAAATGAAGTTGCTTATATATTTGTAAGAGTGTTGTAAATGCTGTCGTAATAGGGTTCAATACCGATATCGGTATGATGATATCACCAACGTAAATATACATTGTCAATGCAAAAGACACCAGTCTAGATTATCCGCGGAAACATTTGGCGAAAAGGGCGAAATATCTGGGAAATTTATATGAATGGACATACTTTTTTTCTGGAAACATGAACATTATCCCTCTCCAAAATACCCTGTTACAGCTGCCCTGGTCTGTGACATGTTGATATATTGTGTAGACTTAGTTACCATGCTCAAATTCCGGATAGTGTTTCTGTAAATGAACTACTTACGTATCACAACTAGCTGTTGCCCACAGTTGGGAATCTTTGTTCCTGGACGTTGTGGTGAACCAAGGTAGCAGCTGTACTGACCAAAGTCATGGTCGTCAGCGCTACTGATCACGAAGCTGAAGAGACCAGTTCCTGAGGATGTTATGTTTCCAGTGAATTCCACTCTTGATTTCTTTCTAGTAATATTGACTTTGTTGTAGTTCGTGAAGTGAATCACATTTTCTCTCATAAAATCGTTTCTGATAAAAAAATCTTTGTTTCGAGACCCATGCAAATTCCAAGTCAGAGTAGCTGTTTCTCCAAAACGAATATAAACATTTGACGCAGCTGAAAGATAAATGCATCAAATATAACATTTATAATTCAATTGCTTTTCCAAACGACTACACATTTACTGAAACAATAGTTTAATTACTTGTAAAATAGTTACAGAACACCAGCAGTTGGAAGATTATATGTTGTAATACCTACCAGCCATGATAAATTAACTATAGGCATATGACAAAAACGGGTGTTCTTAAACCTATTTTGTGTGGTATATCTATGTATTTACATCGCAAAAAGTAGCAAAGTAACATGTACTAAGGGAGTATCCATACCATTTGCCTCATACATACCCATCACGATAAGTGTCTGTCCACAATCAGTAATTACGAATCCTTTGTTACCCGGCGATCGCGAAAAACACTCATACCGGCCTTCGTCATGAAACTTGACATCTCTAATGATAAATCTGAACAATCCTGTTCCAGAAGGTGATATGTTCCCTGTAAATGTGATCCTAGATTCTGAGTTCACGTGAGTGACATTATTGTAGTTGGTTATATGGAATATGGCTTTCCCTGCGCGTGTGTTCCAAACGGTGTACTCGTTGGCTGTAGGTCTGGGTAGAGACCATGACAGTGTAGCATTTTCTTCAACGGTTACGTTTGCTGAAACGCAAGAAGGATAGTTTTAGCTATAGAATGCTATTGTAAATGGAAGTGTTAAGATACAATCACGCGTGTACGTTCCTGCAGATTGTTCCTAACAAGCATATCCACGACATATTCAATTCCATGAATGCTCATGCCAACGTGTATAACGTACTTGACATTTTGATTATGACAATGTTCGGGTTCCATTCGGTGAATGAAAGGTGTCTCGTGTCATTGATCGTGGCGTATCATTTATTTCTGTTTAGTTCTTGATGTTCAAACTTGTTACATATTAACTGAGTTTTTGTATGAACATTTATCTGTTGAGTCTTTATGTAGGACACCCGTCTACATATAATTCTAAGATTAAATTTTCCATTTTCTTCGTGAGTGAGTGCGTTGGGTTTAATGCCGGTTTTTATTCCATTTATATCACAGTGTGTCAGCTTAATGTGGAAGGAAAGCCCGAAGTGATGCGGGTCTCAGGCGTTTTACACTTTTACCACCCACGACCACCGGTATGGTGCTGACAAACCTAGAAAAATAATTGAGGCGAACCGGGATTTGAACCCACAATCCTAGGTTTGCCCCAGGGACGCAACTCTGCACAGAGAATCGCGGCGCCTTAGACGACTGGGCCACTCGTGACCCTGAATGAATGAATGCCTCCCCCCCCCCCCCCCCCCCCACACACACACACATTCATCACGTATATAACGCAAACAGAGTGAATGATTCGTACTTAATTTTGCAGAGTTGCGTCCCTTGTACACACCAGAAACCTATGATTGTGGGTTCGAATCCCCCAATTATGTTTCTAGGTTTGTCAGCACTATACCCGTGCTCCTGGGTTTCACCGAAGTGGTAAACGTCAATTCGGGCTTTCCTCCCACATTAAGCTGACACGCCGTGATATAACTGGAATACTGTTAAAAGCGGCGTTAAACCCAACCTACTCACTCACTCACTAAACTTGATACTGCCTACCAACTCTTACAGCTATCAACACTCAACTCAGTCACAAGTGGTTTACATATCTGGATATATATACATTGTATAAAACTCGTGCCAAGTTAGGAATTTAAAGTGGAAGTTTGTGTAAATTGCTTAGTTGACAGCCTATTGTACTAATTCAAACACAGACGCGCGTTCACTCAATAATCTTGAGCATGACGTTAAACTACATTTAACATCACCTCATCCTTTGAATTATGTATGTTTTTATTGCATCAGCCTTACCTGTCGGCGCCCCTCCTATGCAACGTTCGGAAAACAACAAAACACAAATGACAGTAGTCCAACTCCAACTGCACATCATCCCGCTGTAGTTCGTGACTGATTATATCAGTAACTCGTCAGTGTACCACGCTCGCTACAAATACTTCCTGTGTACTCTACCCCCCATGTATAGCACAGGCCATGGTCAAATAATCAAACCAAGTCCGCCATATCATACACTTTGAGACCTGGTAATAAATAATAGCAATGCTAATATTTTCAACACTCTAATTATACACGTATTTCAATCGTCCCAGCAACAGGGACACGTCACTGTCCTGTTCGGTATATTTATACACTGCTCCGTTCAGTACAGACTTTTCATTTCTTCCGTCAAGCTTGTACACACCTTCCTGGTGATGCATTTATTCTTAGAAATTGTACAGTGTGACCACACTCTGCGGAAATTCTCGTCACAATATGGTTGCAATATTGCCGTTGCAATAGTGACGGTAAATTTTAACTCACTCACTCACTGTCAAAATTCAATGGGCGACACTGTAATAAGCGCCTGCGGGAAATCGAGACTTTGGCTTGTGAACTTTCAGATGGATCAATTTTACTTAACTGAAAACCAAAATAACATCTGAATGATTTGAGTCCCTTTAAGTCTCAAATAAATCATCGTTTTTTCTTCAGAAACGTATTCATGTCAGACAGAAAACTAATCAAAAACAGAAGATAGCTCACTATGCAACGTAGCTCAACAGGAAACAGATCTTCAATAATCGATTCGTTTCATGTTTGAAGGTTATGTTGTATAACACGGCTGTTCAGCCCTGCACACTTCTGTGCGAATTAACTACAGTGCTCGCCTGGTATGGATAAAATAGCTGATACACTGACTCAGCACTTCGCGCATGCGCAGATGGCTTTTGCTGAGGAGTGAAATGTTTTATAAATGCCGACTACCTTGACAACAGTAGCTACCAGCACCAAACGCTTCTCTGTGGTAGCTTTATTTTCACACTATCTCAATACCCTTTATGTATTATTATTATTTATTTAAAGGTGCATCTTTTGAGCATTCACCATGGGAGAATCGATATGGGATCGTTTCATTTTGGGATATTTACATATTATTTCGTTTTGTCTTTTGTAAGTTATGGTGTAGGTGGGGATATCCAGGAAAGGTTATTAGCTATTTGACAATTATTGAACGATATCACTGATGTATCTTTTCTCTTTGGTCAAATTCTCTTTGTGTTTGGGCAGTGATCAGGCGTCAGGAAGTACTATTAGCATATTGAGATGCCAGAGAGGTGTTTAAACTTCAGGTCCGGTTTACCGGGGACGGTGGTAGTATGTTTTCTAAACATGTGAACTTTACAGTATCTTGTTAGCTCGTATATAACGGGAGAATAGTGTGTATACGTATCTCTCACGCATTTCATCGCTTTGGAACAAACATTCATGTGAGGATCACTCATCATCCCCGATTCCCTGCCTAGCCCATCTCGGAAGCTTGACCACTCTCGCCGCTTCTGCATAGCTATCTCAGTTTTGGGAATCGACAGGTAACAGAAGTAAATCCGATTTATTCGCACAAAGAAAGCGATAGGCAATGATTGTGCAACAAATAGTACCCACCAGAATGACAACTTCTTGCCAACATGTCATATCAAAAATTTCATATTGATGTTATCTATGGGGAAGTATAGCATTTCATATATTGTTTTCGCAGTAAATTTCAGATGGCATTTTACCAGTTAATATCCTAGTTAGACACTTACAGCAACCTATGCTTGTCGTAAGAGGCGACTAACGGGGCCGGGTGGTCAGGCTCGCTGACTTTGTTGATGCATGTCATCAAATACCAATTGCGTTGATCGATGCTGATGATGTCAATCACTGGAATGCCTGGTCCAGACTTATTTACAGACCGCCGTAATATAGCTAGAATTCTGATGAGTTCGGCGTTAAACATCAAAGAAACAAAGTATAATAATATATACTTCACATGATTCACATGATGGTGGAGGGATAGCCGTCATATTATCTAAAATATTGCTAGGTGCGGCTTTAAACAACAAACAAACAAACAACAGATGACATTTGCTTTCATATCTGAAACTTGAAAGGTCGTGATGTAATTATATCTATATTGTCAACACGTAACTTATAGAATATATATTTAATTATCCAATAACCTATCTTCAAAACTGCAGTGTGACCTTGCCTTTAGTGAAGTGAAGTCATGCAATGTATATACTCAATTGCTGCCGCGGAAATACAAAGGTGGTCTATACAGGTTTCATGCTATTCTGCCTAACATAATTTCACTATCTGAAGTCACCCTACACACATTATGAACTTGAATGAGTGAAGTAGTAGGAAGCACAGGCGATAAATATGTTTCTTTTTTTTTGCAGTTCGACGTGAAGTTGTTCCTGGTTTTATTTGTCTGCTTCCTGTGTAATATCAGATTGTCTTTTCCTTTCTCTACTCAAGTTGTCCAGTGGAACAATAAATGTGTCACTTACTTTATATCTTAACTAACTTCAAATATAAGACTTGAATGAGAATGAGACATGTCACACATTGGTACAGTAACTGTATGCATATAAGTAACCATCTGAATGCAGGGGCATGGCTTCACTAGTGCTCGGGAATTGTACATGTAGTGTGGTGAACATCTCGGGCTTCATTTACAGGTCTTCATGCAGGACGTCAGAAGGAAGTATGAACTGGAATCATCAGCCGACCAGTCCTTGTTTTAGCCCTTTAATGTCGAACGCCAGACAGGGTAACAACGAGTACCATCTTTTAACGTCTTTTGGTATGACGCGGCTGGGGATTGAACCCCGGACCTTCCGCTCTCCGGGCGGACGCTCTGCCACTAGACCACGGAGGCGGTCCAATTAATATGAATATTAAAAGAGGAGCTTAAAGTTTTATGTGTAAGTGTCATGGCGATGCTTTCCCTCTATTCCCGATCCCTGAAATGGAGGGATATATAATGTCACACCGAAAATTAGGGCTGAGCCATGCTTGGTGTGGAACGTTGAATATATCCTGAATTATCAACACAAAAGGTACGTTTAAAACAGCAATGATTGTAAATTCTGTAAATAACTAATCTTTCATGGTAAATAGTTATATTTGATAA